TATGTCCTCATACTAGTGACAAGTACTCACTGTGTTGTAATATAGACTCTGTCTCAATGAAACATTACAGTGTTCATTATATAGCATCAGTGACTGAACACTAATAAAGAGACACGAGAAAGCTCGGGAATACTATAGGGCTGATGGGAATTCTTTTGCCAGAGGATGAAAATCAAAACCTGACCAACTCTGACCTGTCAGGTAGTGTGATCAGCTGTATCCAGAGCAGGAGCTGGGTTACTGGAGGCTCCTGTAACATCCTAAACCTGACTGACACTGGAAGTGCTAACAGACACACAGCACTGTGACACTGAGAGAAAACTGGTCCTGAGGCTGTTTTCCACTCCGACACTGAAGACACAGATAACAGAGCCTGGCCAGCTCTCACCTGACACCCCAGACTGTCGCTCCCCCAGGACACTGCCTGAATTGTGCAGGAATAATACTTCACCTTTTACACATCACACCCCAAACTACACAACCCTGAGCAGCAAGCACACAGCTAGAAAAGGACAGTTTTACACATCTGTACCTCAGTGTTTAATACTAATAATATCACACATCACACAAGGACAGGACAGCTCAACACTCATGTCAACAGTACTTACACCAGACTGCAGGGTGGACAAAGCAGGACCATGTGAAAGAAAGAGAGAGAGAGAAATACAGGTTAGAGCACAACCCAACTGGACCACGTCTGTGTGTTCTACTGTAGAGACTCCCTCTGTCCTGATGACACAGTGGAGTGGGGATTATATAGGACCAGGGACTCAGCTCAGGTCAGAAGCTCCTCTCTCTTACTGAATCAGTGACCAGGAATGTCTCCTTTTTGTTATAATCACTGCATTACACTGAGAAGATAATGGATCTCTGCACAATCTGAACAGCCCAGAATTACTTTGTGTCATGAAGTTGTTCCTCAGGGAAGGTCTAGACTGAAACCATGAAGAAAATTGCCCCTGTTCCCCTGCTGGTGGCACATTCTCCAACAGATATACATGGGCAAGACAGTGTAGAAAACACCACACCCTTTTACTGGGTGACAAAGAAAAAAATCAAACAGCTTCACCTTAAATTTGATTACTCAATATACAGAAAAATGTTTA